TTTTTTTTTTTTTTTTTTTTTTTTTTTTAACTTAATACAATATTATTAGTCAACACAGTTAGGTATGTTTGATCAAGAATTGTTCTTCATGATTTTTCAAATAAATGAAAGAAAGATTTGAATGGCTTTGAATTATGAATTGAAGTATACAATTTTACAGTTTTAATTTAAAAAAAACCAACTTGATAACACATATATAAGTTAACACAATTGATAATATGTATTTGTAACTAAAATGAATTGGCCTATACCACTGTATATAAACCAAACTAAACATGCAGACCCAGATTTTTAATATTAGGTAAAATGAATATGAAAATACAAACTACCTAAAAACTATTCTAAATATCACAAATGCATATTGCATGCAATAAAATAAACAATACTTAAAAATGATGTGTCAACACATAACTATCAGGCAATAGGCCTAATGCTTAGCTTCTAGTGCAAAGGTAAGAAAAGTGCAGCCCGATGGTGATCAATCTTTTTTTTCTGCCCATGACCACCCTATAATGTGCAGCCATCCTACCATTTTTGACTAGAAAACTCCTTGTTTTTTGACGGCCTAACACTAATATCTGTAGAAATTAATATCAAAACTTAGCATAAAGTGGTATAATAACAGTGAATGAAGGTTTTTCTAGAAGTGTCAAATTTCGGTAGCGGCCACACAATTCAGGTACCATGACCATATACTCGCAGCTTCAATATTAAAAAATATTTAAAGTGCATTTATTATATTAAATAAATGTAAAAATGTAGCAAAAATATTATTATAATTAATCAATATTACATAATTAAAAAATATAGATTCAGAAGCAGATTTGTAAATACAATGAAAGACAATTATTAAAAATCACTGAATTGCACTTGATGCATGATCACAAATAAAATATATTAATACAATACCATTTAAACCACTGAAATCACATACAATACTAGAAAACATATAACAAATGATGTGTCAGGGCCATACATACATTATCTAGGCAATGATTACATTAAATAGTTATTAATACAGGGTTAAGTAGTAAATTAATAGTTATGAAATGGTAAAAGAACCATTTAAATCCGACATTTTGTTATGAAGTTACAGAAGTAATAAATAACTGTAAAGCTGTTTAAAGTACCGTTTTTGAGAAATCAGCCTTCAAATTTTTTACCCATTTCTCAGGTAGAGACTATCACTAAATCATTAATAAATGTTGTTTTAATGTCAGAAATGAGAAAAATAACAACACAGCATGATGTATATATAAATGAAATTTAGTTTAAAATAGATTTCGAAAAATTTGACATTCCAACATGTTTTGGCCATTATCTCCGAAACCACATATACAGTGATCTACGCAACCATGAACAAACTTTAACTAGGTTTTTTTTAATTTTTTAAATTCCAATACTATTATCTCTTTTTTAAAATGAATTTCATCTTTACTTGCAACTTTTGTTCTGTTGTATGGTAGAATCTCTCCTGCGTGAGAGTGTTCCTCTGCTTTAATAGAGTGAGCCAATAAATTATTGAACAACAAGGAGTTGATATAGTATCCCGGCAACCATCTATAGTTAGTTAACTGATATTTGTGAGTATTGTCTTTGTGGTTTAGGCTGGACTCTCCTTGATCGGTGGATTTCATTCTCCTGTGTAGGCACTTCATTTTCCTCATCAATCTCTTCTTGTTGCTTAGCGAACTCTATGAATACCTAAAAAAAAGTAAACACATAAATACAACTAAGTATATATAAAAATAACTACAGTATATAAAAAGTATAACAAATATAATAAAATAACAAAGTATGTACAAATTAACTATGTAATCAATTAATTAGATTATACCATATATACCAGGGATCCGAAGTTTTCCCCAGCACCCAGGAGTCTCCTAGAAATTGGGAAGGCTTCCGGATAATAACCCATCTTCCGCAAATTCACGATATTTGCAGGTTTTTACTACTGTATTATTAATTGCCTCTCAGAAGTCAACACCGATGGGTATCACAGCAAAATAGGATCGTTGTGGAATTATGCGGACATGTAGCTACTATATGTGCCTCTTTACAACCGCTAGGTAGTCATGGACCACGCCCATACACAATTCAGCACAATGATTCCGCGAGTTATGGGTTATTCTCCTACCTTTACCCCCTACCATTAGATGTGTTCATCTTCTTCTCGAGTTACTACGTAGTTAGTGTGTATGATCTTGCTTACGTAGTGTGGTAAACGCTCCTTCTGTGGCCGGACTGGGGGATGAGCGGTCAAGACAGGTGAACTGGGACATACAGCCATAATATTGGCGAACGGCACCCCACCTATGGTTCCGGTGGTGGAACAAGTCTTCCCGGATACGGACTATAAACCATAGGCCCTTTTGTACATAATTGGCTCGTGTGAACTTTAAAGAACCCAGTATATCCTTCGAGAAGTGTAGGGAGTTACCCCAGTGTTACTGGTCCATTAGATGTGTTAAGAATGCTCTTCATATAAACAGGTCTCACAGAAGTGGCTTCTTCCAACTTGTGACCCCCTCTGTATATACTGTCTAGGATAAGAAAATTTTTTTTTTCTGACTGAAAAAATTCACATAGTGACATGACAAATAACTTTAAAAGATTTCAGATGCCTACTTACCTGTTCAAGGGTAGATTGACTAAAGCTGTATTCTTCAATTTCAAACTCAGATTTTCCTGCAAAGGAATAAGACAAAATAATAATTAGATTGGATATCTAGGTAGTTACGATACTTGACTTTCAATTATAAGAGACCTGGTTCAAATTTCTCACAAATGTTAAGTGCGAGACACAGAATTTTTGGAGTAAAACGCACAAAGTATGAAACGCTACTGTAAGTCCAAACACTTGTTCAGCGGATCTTCTCGGTGGTAAATTGGGCAATAAACGAGATTTCAATAATCCTAGTCTTTTCTGAGAATGCACAGCATTCTTTAACATGCACGTGGACCATGTTTTACACAAGATCAATGCCTTAAAATTCTTATCCAAAAGACGGTGCACTATTGTAAACTTGTATGCAGATCTGAAACGATCTCCACAGTTCCCAGCACACACGGTAGCTGCCACGTGGGTTTAAATCCTGACAGTACAGGATAATAATTGGCTCACACTACACGATCACATGACCAAATGTGGAGAGTACTACTATGTTAGTACTTTTAAAACCTACCTACCTTTGTTTTTATTTATTTTTTTAAAATTATTTGCATTAATATAACAACATAACACATAAGGTATTTTAATACAGTAAAAAGAATATACAGCATACAGAATGTATTTTATCAACACTCTTTTTAAAACGAAGCACTCAGAATGTAATACATTATTTTTTCCCTTATTATCTTCTTTTCTTTCTTTATATTAATTTAAAGCAAGTAACCTATTTAAATATAAGACTGTAACTTTAAATTAATATAGTAATACATTAAATGTATTATTGCCACATAAAGGTTAAAGGTTAATCATTTATATTGTGCAAAATAACATATATATGATGCTTGCCATTCCAACACCAGCATACTATCGCTGTTAAATCTACTCATAACTTTGGCAATAATAATTTAATTCCAGTAAATAACCATCTTTCTAAAGCTTATAATATGAATTATATTAAAAAGTAAAATTTCATGTTTTAGTCGCTGATGCTGGATTTGGCATGGCAAGTCCCATCTTAAGCGCCCACCTTCTTGCATGATCTCAAAAACTTTAGCCAGCGAGTTCACTTCATCTCTCGGTACTTTTATAGTCACACGTTCTGAAAAGCACTCAATAACTTCAGCGCTGGGGAAGAAGGTACGCACATGTCGGATGAACTTTGTCAGTTTATCTTCCAGGAGGGCTGTCGTGTCCCCGGCCCCCCTTGCGAAAGCAACAAGGTTCAGCTTAGCTTCTAAGAGATAGCCTCCACCGTATTTGTCCTTCAAGTGTTGGGTGGTCCCTAGACATCTGGAAGATAAAAAGATTTGTTGTTACCTTAAAATTATTGTCAGTGATGAGCTAATAATATACATAAGTAAATATATGGATTAATTATTAAATTTCAATTGTAAATTTAAACATGAAATACTTAATTGCCAATTAACACTATGTTGTATGTTATATACTATTAAATACTGGTAATGTCAACCTCAATGAATAATAACAATATTTTTTAATATTGCAAGAAAGCAAATTTTGGTTCAAATGGCAGG